GATAGGGATTAGCATTTTTTTTTTTTTTCCTGAGAAGAGGGATTCGTCTAATTTCCTATTTGGTGTGTGTCAGTCAATGATCCCTAGATCAGATTTACATGATGCAAAGACAGACAATTTTAAAAATGCAGTCCCCAAAGCGTTTTGAGAGTACAAGTGTAAGTAAGGTTACAGATGCCATGCTTCTGGCAGCCTCTGCTCCCTCTTAACTGACACCCACAGTGCTCAGAGGATGAGCCTTTCATCCTGGTAGACTCAGTCTTTAGCACTTCAAGTGTGAAAAGAAAGGCCCGGAATAATTATCTAAATTATATGAAAACTGTAACATGAGGCTCAACCTGATCTCAGCAAGGGAAAACCTGAAAAGAATTGTGTGGTGACTTGAGAGGTTTAAACACACATCCTTAATTAGACTATGTGTTCTTGGCCCACCAGTCGGCTCAGCATTAATCGAGGAGATGATTAGTAAGCAAATAAGATAGTTTGTAATCAAGCTCAGCACCGCTTCCTTTCTTAGATAATCTAGGGAGCTCTAGATAAAGATGAGTCTTCAAGGAACCACACGATGTCTGCTGATGGCCCATCTCCTTATTGTTTTCGAAGGCAGGTTTTTAAAGTTATGAGTTCCTAATGAGCTGCCAGGTCCTAGGCTAGTCCAACCCTGGCTGCTTTGGGCTGCCATCTCATAGGATGTAGCTTGCAACTGAGAAGGAAGTCAGAATCTTTCACTCACTGTCAGCTTTGAATGTCTCCTTCCATTGTCCATTTGTCTCTGAAAACTGCTGGTCTCACTGCTGTTTTGCTGTCGAGCCCAGGAACTGCGGGCTGTGTGCCACAAAGTATTCGGAAGGGCTCAGAAAATGGTTCTATTAACTACGATGTGATTTTATAAAGACCTCGTCCCACTTATAGCTTTTGATTTTAATTAACCTCATTAAATAACAGATTTTATAATTCTACAAGGTTTTCAAAACCCTCACAAAAAGAGGAACAAAATAGTAATTAGCTTCCTTTCAATTACCCACATATATCTTCCCAAACAGAGCATGCCCTGTAATCTGTTCCAGGCACACATGGCCAGATCAATAGAATTGAAAGGGCTCCTCTGGAAGGTGGGTTCAAGAACTTGTCATTAAATGATTGTGTGACTCTGGGAAAGTAATGTAATTTCTCAGGGCTGTTACCTCATCTAACACAGGTAGAGGCACTAGGATTAAGATTTTTCTGGCCTGGCAGAACAGGGGAATAACCTTGGTAAACTTCCAAAAAACTTAGGTTTCCCAGATTCTATCCCATACTAATGAATGAGATTCTGGAAATGAGTCTTGGCTGCAAGCATTTGTGATGGTCTCATGGATTATTCTGAGCCTCCAAGTTGAAAACCACTACATCCCCTCTCTCAGTATTTTATGGCTAAAGAAAAGTCTGTGATAGATTCCTATTCTGCCTATGTTGTAGGACAGATATATAGCATCCCTGAACAGAGATATGTCTCCCGTGTGACTGGTGACACTTTAGTAATGGATCTTTTCCCTCCAACCTGTATCCTACCAAAACTCCCGCAGACTCTCTTGGATGGTATGCAGACCCCTTGGTAGCTTGAAGACCCAAGGGCTTTATCTTGGGTTGCCTTGAAGGAAAAAGTTAACATTGTATCATGCTTTAAAAAAATTAATAAAAATTAATCTGCCTATAGATTTTTTTACCACTTTATTAAGAATCATTTTAACTTTTAGGTATGCTTTTCAGAGGCAGAGGACTAAAGGCACACTAGAGATAGTTGGCCTGTCACTCTGCAGTCCTTGAGAATAATCAGCCGCACTCTGCCTGTGCAAACTGGTGTGCCCGCAGAGGCAGGGGCTGCCTGATTTCCCCCGGGTCCCTAGTGCACACTGCTTTGCTCACGAAGGTGGGAAGTAATGAAGGCTCAGCTCTTGGCCTGGTATGGAGAAGTCCACTGTCTTTTTCTAGACAGAAGAATCAGAATCGTTCAAGGGCAAGGTGTCTAAGGGGACAACATTTTCATTTGTGACTAGATGAAAAACTCCATCTGTTAAATCTTCAGGAGTAATAGAAGGAAACCTAGACTCCATTTGGCTGATCAGGCTCAGAAAGAAAGAAAGGTTTGCCCTGTAGTCATGCGGAGAACCCTCAGTGTAGCTGTGACCTCGGAGCCAGTGTCCCGGCATGTGACCAGCAGTCACACTGCTCAGAAGGGCAGTGCTAGGGTTCACTGCTTGGAAGTCTGCTCTCTTGTCTTGAAATGCTTAGTAGTTTTATCCTTGAATTTGTATTTGACAAATGAAGTCTGAGGGGACAGAGGGTGGGAGCTTCTGCCCTCAGATGTTCCCTAGTCGCACCTCCTTGATGCCTCCCTGGGCTGGACCTGTGAAGGCGCTGATGTAAAGCAGCCTTCTCGGCCTGGGTCTACAGAGTCACAGTGTGTGTTGAGGCACTGGTGGGAAAGTCACCCACATCAGATACCGAGCAGGAGGTGAAAGACCCTGGGGTCAGGGTACTGGGGCTGCCAGCCTTGAGAGCGGGTACTGATTTCCTCGCTGCACAGGGCCCCACAGTGGTTGTGGCGGACCTTGCCTCACCCAGTCACCACCAGACAGCTCTGGGCTCCATAGAGCAGGTGGGTTTGTGAAGGGCTGTCATGGCCACACGTCCTGTGTGTCCCCTGCCCCCACTTAGAGCAGTTCCGCCTGCCACCCAGCGTCAGTGTTAATGTCCCACTATACACAAAATGCGCATTTCCTGTGTGACATGGGGCAAATTACTTAAATTCACTGCACCTCAGTATGCCATTCTATCACAAAAGAATACTACTGTCATAAACATAAAACAAAACAACACAGGTCTAACTTGGCACAGCGCCAGGGACATAGCAGCTGTTCAATATTTTCCTCGGCATTACTAGTATGATTTTCGTGTGTGACAGATCCTGAAAGCAGTGGCCGAAGTATTTTTGATTAATTACCTTAGAAGACACACATTCAAATCTACTGTTTGAAGTGTCGTCAGGTTCTTAGGGTCGCTTGAGCTCAGGAGGAATTTTTAGGAGAGGAAAGGTAGCCCTGGTAAGGAAAACTTCTACAATGAGAAGAGCTCTTGGCTATGTCTATCACACTAGCATACCCACAGCAGCTGCTCAATGTTTGAAGTGTAACAAGGTAGCAAGGGTGCCAGGTCACTAAAACTCTTTTTCTGCTGTGCTGCAGTGGTGAATGCAGGGACTGATGACTGAATGCAGATGTTGACTATAAAATGTGAGGACTCACAGACCGCAGCTCTAGTCAGCGATGGCTGCTCATAGCAGCTGCCTCCTGCTAGTGACAATTTAATCCTCGAGACCGCTCTGTGGAGTACTAATGATGACCGTCATTTCACAGATGGGAAACTGAGGTGCTAGCAAGCAAGTAAACTTAGTAGACAGAGCCAGGTTATGGATAAAACACAATGAGACTGAATACTCTAAGGCCGACTGATAGATTACAGTCACAACTTCTGGAGTGATGTGCAAGTATGAGGTGAAAAAAGCATAATGTAAATAGTTTAAATATAATTAAACTTTCTAAAATAATACAGGAATATGTTCAAGTGAGTATCCTTGAAAATATTAGTCAAAATGCTTTTGCATTTAGAGCCTGGAATAAATAATGAATGAAGACACTAATAATAATAATGGATAAATTAGCTTTACATCTATTAGTGTGCCTGGCCCTGGACCAGTTTTTTTTTTTTTTTTTTTTT